TGTGTGAGGCTGGCCGGCCCAGCCGCTGCGGCTGTCTGCGAGCCCTCCCTTCTTGGTCTCGATCCGCCACCTGCTGCCTCCGCCGTCACGTGCCGGTGAGCGGGCCGGTCAAGCCCTCCCCTCTTTGCCTCGATCCGCCACCTGCTGCCTCCGCCGTCACGTGGTGGTGAGCGGTCCGGTCGAGCCCTCCCCTCTTGGCCTCGATCCTTCGCCTCCTCCCTCCGCCGTCACGTGGTGGTGAGCGGGCCGGTCGAGCCCTCCCCTCTTGGCCTCGATCCTCCACCTCCTCTCTCCGTCGTCACGTGGTGGTGAGCGGGCCGGTCGAGCCCTCCCCTCTTGGCCTCGATCCTTCGCCTCCTCTCTCCGCCGTCACGTAGTGGTGAGCGGGCCGGTCGAGCCCTCCCCTCTTGGCCTCGATCCTTCGCCTCCTCTCTCCGCCGTCACGTGCCGGTGAGCGGGCCGGTCGAGCCCTCCCCTCTTGGCCTCGATCCTTCACCTCCTCTCTCCGCCGTCACGTGGTGGTGAGCGGGCCGGTCGAGCCCTCCCCTCTTGGCCTCGATCCTCCCCTCCTCTCTCCGTCACGTGCCGGTGAGCGGGGCCGGTCGAGCCCCCCTCTTGGCCTCGATCCTTCACCTCCTCCCTCCGCCGTCACGTGCGGTGAGCGGGCCGGTCGAGCCCCCCCTCTTGGCCTCGATCCTTCACCTCCTCCCTCCGCCGTCACGTGCCGGTGAGCGGGCCGGTCGAGCCTCCCCTCTTGGCCTCGATCCTTCACCTCCTCCCTCCGCCGTCACGTGCCGGTGAGCGGGCCGGTCGAGCCCTCCCCTCTTGGCCTCGATCCTTCACCTCCTCCCTCCGCCGTCACGTGCCGGTGAGCGGGCCGGTCGAGCCCTCCCCTCTTGGCCTCGATCCTTCACCTCCTCCCTCCGCCGTCACGTGCCGGTGAGCGGGCCGGTCGAGCCCTCCCCTCTTGGCCTCGATCCTTCACCTCCTCCCTCCGCCGTCACGTGCCGGTGAGCGGGTCGGTCGAGCCCTCCCCGTGGCGGGTGACGGGTGCGGGGTGGCCGGGCACCGCCGGTGCTGGAAGGGACGCCGGGCGTCCACCATACGTGGTGCCCCCCGCTGAGACGGCCGCCTCGTCCCGCAGGGTCTGGAGGTGGTGCGCTCTTCGCGACAATGCAGATCGCGCCCTTCAACTACGTGCGGCGCAGCAAGAACTTTGACCCGTCCAAGTGGCCGCTGGCCAACAACGAACCAGACCACCCGCAGTCGGACTGCTCAGCTCCCTGCCGCAGATCCGCGACGACCACCTCAAGTACATCTCCGAGCTGGCCAGATACAGCAACGAGTGCGGCCCCAGGCGTGCCCGGTGGGGAGCGGGGCCACGGGCACGGGACGGTTAGCGCAGTGGGTTGCGGATGGGGGCTGCGTAAGTGGGATATTTCCCTGTTGACGTTATTGGCCGTATCCAGGCCACGCTGATGTTGCTGATCCATATCTTGAGGGGGAGGGGGGGGGGGGGCGGTTTTGAGTTGTGAACTAGTAGCAGAAAATCTGCAGTTCCCAGCGTATGTTCAGCCCAGCCACTGAAATGGAAAAACATTTCATGTTAGTGCAGCATGATGCACAAGCAACCTGGACTCCTCCTGAGATCCCTTGCGCGTTGAAAGCGGGCGAGTATGCAGGAGTAAGCGGCCTAGCATACTTCTTATGAGGCAGCGGCGTCTGCTGGGCTGCGGCCGGTGGAAAGTGGCTGAGCTTTGCAGCTGGGGTTGTGTCCGACCGGCGGGTGCCTGACCTCGGCGCGCGCCGCCGCCTCCGCCGCCAGGTGACCACCACGTACAAGGACTCGCCGCGCACGGACGCCGAGAACCGGGCCATCTGCGAGCTGGCGCTGCGCGGCCTCCAGCTGCTCTCCGAGTGGACGTCGGTGGTGACGGAGCTCTACTCGTGGAAGCTGCTGCACCCGACCGACCACCACCAGAACAAGGAGTGTCCCACCGAGGCCGAGGAGTACGGAGCGGGTCAGTGGCGGGCTCACAGCGTCAGAGAGGCCACGGGTCGGGGGCGGAGACGAGTGGCGGGGGATAGCATGACCCGGGATGTCACAAGCCCGACTGCTATGGGAGCTTATCACGCTCCGCTCCTCCATACCAGGCTCTGTGTGTTTGTTACACGGCGTGCTGCACGCCTTTTCTGAAGTTGGTCCGGCCGCCGCATCACCGGCCTGTCGCTGCTCACCGCTGACCAGTGCCCTGCCCCCACCCCCCTCCGCGCCACCAAGCGTGCCACTGCTCACCGCTGACTGCCCCCCCCCCCCGCAGGCCACGCGCTACAACTACAACCCGACGACGAGAAGTTCCGCGCTGATCGAGGTCATCGCCATGATCAAGGGCCTCCAGGTGCTGATGGCCAAGATGGAGACGGCCTTCAGCGACGGTATCCGGCGTAAACATCTACGCCGAGCTGCAGGACTTCATCCAGCTGACGCTTGCGCGAGCCGCTGCGCAAGGTCCATCAAGAACAAGAAGGAACCTGGTCCGGAGGTGAGCCCGGGCGCTGAATGGTGGCGGGCGGCGGCGGCGGCGCGTCCCTGGCTCGGTGCTGGTGTGTCTGTCTGGGAGGAGGGCGACTGTCAGTGCCACGGCAGGATCGGGGACGCACTATTGACCCGGTATATATATATATATATATATATATATATATATATAGATATAGATATAGATATAGATATAGATATAGATATAGATATAGATATAGATATAGATATAGATATAGATATAGATATAGATATATAGATATATAGATATATAGATATATAGATATATAGATATAGATATAGATATAGATATAGATATAGATATAGATATATATATATATATATATATATATCCTTATATATATATACATATATATACATATATATATATATATATATACATATCCTTATATATATATATATATATATATATATATATATATATATATATATATAGTATATATTTTGCCATTGTATATATTTGTGTATATATATATACACGTATATATGTATATATCTGTATATATTTTTTGTATGCACATATATATCCGGTCAGGGAGCTCTGGTTCGCAGGCGCGTTTGCGACTGGTCGAGGTATGCGTATGCCCCACTGGCCGTCGCGTGCGTGAGTGCGCCGCCGTTCGATGTGCGCGCGTCAGAGCGCGCGCGCAGGCGTGACCGGCGTCTGCCCCGCCGCCAGCATCATCACGTCCATCCGGGAGACGTGTGCCGACTGGCAGCACGGCGTCCAGCCGCAGGACGACCCCATGCTGCGCGGGAAGAAGGACCCCGACAGCGGCTTCAGCATCAAGGTGCCGCGCCGGCGCGTCGGTGAGTGCCGCTGCTGCCGGCCCCGGCCGCTCCGGTCAGCAGGTCAGCCGCTCGGCGGCCGGTGGGGTGACCATCGGGGGAAGCCGCGCTCGGTCAGGGCGTGAGGTCAGAGCGTGAGGTCAGGTCAGGGCGTGAGGTCAGTCAGAAGCCGCGCTCAGTCAGAAGCCGCGCTCGGTCAGGGCGTGAGGGACGGTCGGTTGGCCGATGTGTGCTCGGGTGACACTGGGACGGAAGCGACCCAGATACCTCAGAGCTGGCTCGGTGACGACAGCTGTCGATGTGTGTGGTGTTTGTGGCGTCAGACACGGCTGTTGTGCCGACGGTCCGACCGAGCGTTCCATCCCGCTTCTGCTGAGGCGGCGGGCTGATGGTCGTCCGCCTGTCTGTCTATGCGGTGTGCCCTGCTGAGGCGGCGGGCTGATGGTCGTCCGCCTGTCTGTCTGCGGTGTGCCGGCTGACGCGTCCCTCCCCTCCCCCCCCCCCCCCCCCCCAGGCCCGTCCTCGACGCAGCTGTACATGGTGCGCACCATGCTGGAGTCGCTGATCGCCGACAAGTCTGGCGGCAAGCGCACGCTGCGCAAGGACATCGACGGCCCGTACCTGCTGCAGATCGACCAGTTCCACAAGACGTCCTTCTTCTGGCCGTACCTGCTGAACATCAGCGAGTTCCTGCAGCAGTGCTGCGACCTCTCGCAGCTGTGGTACCGCGAGTTCTACCTCGAGATGACCATGGGCAAGCGCATCCAGGTGAGAGGGCGCCACCGCAGCCGCTCCCGCCCTGTGTGCCCGCGCCTCCGGCGGCGGTGTGCTTCCTCCGGCCGCTCTTGTCTGTTAGGTGGGCCTCCGTGTGGGGACGCCAGGCGGGCGGGGAGCACTCCCAGGTCTCTCAGACGTTGGCCGTTCCTCATTGCCCCTGGTCTTCGTCTCCATGTGTCCATGTGTGTTTGTCTGATCAGATGAGTGCCAGTGACAGCTGGGTTTGGGTCTTGTGTCTCGTGGTCTGTCTGTCACGATCGGACGCGGGATGGTCCCCGTGGCTTGGTTTGGTGGGCCGCTGAGCGCCGCTGTCCCTGTATCCAGTCCGTCGCGGGCTGATCCCGTTTACAACCGTCTCGTCGGATCTGTGCACGTGTACGCCGGTGCTGTGTGCCAATCCTTAAGTTGTGCTTCTCTCTTGGTGCTCCCGCAGTGCTTTGTGGTCGCCTGTTGCCGAACAATTGGTCTGGTCAGATGCAGTGGCCCTGTATCTGCCCTTGGGCTTCTGTCGTTGCTCCCTGCGCGTCGCCACATTTCCGTGTCTGTGTCCCGTGTCTCTGTCACTCCGTTTTTGTTCATGGCTTTGAGTCTCGAGATACGATCTCTGTTTCCTGTCGAGTGGTGGCCTTGCTTGGGGTGGAGGGCGCGGTGACGTCATTGGTATCTTCCTACCGTAGTTTTATGTGGGTGTTCCTGGCTCGAACTATCTTAGTTGTAGTGCGCTTCAGTGCAGCCGTGCGCCTTGATGTGTATCTGTCCCGTTGCTCTGATTCGGCGCCTCCTCTGGGGCCGTTGCTTGTCCGTGTCTGGGCACCGGCTCGTGTTCTGCCGTCCTTGTTGTCTGTCCGTGTCTGAGTGCCGGCTCGCGTTCTGCCGTCTCTGTCGTCTGTCTGTGTCTGAGCACCGGCTCGTGTTCTGCCTTCGCTGTCGTCTGTACGTGTCTGAGCACCGGCTTGTGTTATGCCGTCCCTGTTGTCTGTCCGTGTCTGAGCACCGGCTTGTGTTCTGCCGCCCCTGTCGTCTGTCCGTGTCTGAGCACCGGCTCGTGTTCTGCCACCCCTGTTGTCTGTCCGTGTCTGAGCACCGGCTTGTGTTCTGCCGTCCCTGTTGTCTGTTCGTGTCTGAGCACCGGCTCGTGTTCTGCCGTCCCTGTTGTCTGTCCGTGTCTGAGCACCTGCTTGTGTTCTGCCGCCCTTGTCTTCTGTGCGTGTCTGAGCACCGGCTTGTGTTCCGCCGTCCCTGTTGTCTGTCCGTGTCCGAGCACCGGCTCGTGTTCTGTCGTCCCTATTGTCTGTCCGTGTCTGAGTACCGGCTCGTGTTCTGCCGTCCCTGTTCGTCCGTGTCTGAGCACCCGCTCGTGTTCTGCCGTCCCTGTTCGTTCGTGTCTGAGCACCCGCTCGCGTTCTGCCGTCCCTGTTGTCTGTCCGTGTCTGAGTACCGGCTCGCGTTCTGCCGTCCCTGTTGTCTGTGCGTGTCTGGAGTCCGTCCGAGTGTGGCCCGTCTGCACCCGTCCGAGGCGGGTCCATGCTCTCGCTGCACCATAGGCCGCTGCCTGGCTGCCGTGTGTCAGTAGCGGACGTCTGGATGCTCCGAAATAGTGGTCGGTCCTGGGCGGCCAGCCGAGGCCAGACTGCAACCGGCACTCGACGCTTTGCCGTCGGTGCCGCACAAGCGTAGTAGCGCGCTGATGTTGGTGTTCCGTGCTGGATGCCCGACCGCGCCGTGCCGGGGCCCGTCCGGACTGGAGGCACACCCGGGCCCACCCCTCCCGTCCCAGTGTAAAGCTGCCTCGCCGCCGCACGATGTCTATAAGGCAGAGGGTGAATGCTTTCGTTGCTAAAGTTAACGAACGTTTCCGTTAGCGGATTGAAAGCGTGTTGGTCGGCAACACTCAAGTTGAATGCCTAAACATGCCGGGAGTCACGTCCCCTTTCACCCCGAATTTGTGCTCCAGAGGTGCGATGTTAACGCTGCTGTCACTGTAGTCTGGAGCTGCTCCGGGCCACTCTGTTGAACCCGGTGTGCCCTCTCGACTCTGTTCCCGATTATGAGTGAGTCGGCATCACCGGCGAGCGCTCCGCGCCATCCTCTGACCGGGCGCGGGCAGCCGTCGCGGCCCGCGCCCGGCGCCGGGCTGTGACGTCCGCGCCCCGTCCCCTCTCAGCGTGCCCATTCTAAGCCGCGTGTCTCCCCTCCTCGCTCGCGCGCGGCCCGTGCAGCATTGCACGGCGCCGCACGAGCACAACGATGAGTGTACCAACCTGGTGGTGATGGAGAAGCGCATTCAGGTCAGGCGGCTCGGTCCGGCCGGCGCGGCTAGCTAGTGACGCATGCGCAGCAGCGGCGGCGGCGGCGGCGGCGGCCGGGCGCGCCTGGTGGACCGGGCCGGGCACAGCGGCGGCCGCGGCCCGCGCTCGCCGCCGCATGAGCTCGCGTGTTGTGTGCAGTGGGTAGCGGTGGCGGGCCTGCGGGATTCGCTTGCGCCTCGGCTGGTGTGTTCCCTCTGGCCGGCGTCTGGCTTGATCTCACCCGGCTAACGGGGCGCCTGCGCGTGTTGGTGTCGTGGTTGGTGTGGTAGCCGGCAGTTGCGGCGCTGCATGCCGTCGGTGTGTGTGACCCCGCCGAGCCCGGTGTAGGATCCCGCCACTGTCCGTGGTACATCCCTAACCCTGCACCCAGCCGCCGGCGCTGCGTGCGGTCGTCCGGACGTGGGCGAGGGAGGGGAGGGGAACACGCCACCGGCACTAGCCGTGCAGGACGCGAGGCGCTTCTCGGTTCTCCAGGCACCAACACCCTTCTCAGGAAACAGAAGGCATGTGTCGCTCAGTGGGAGTGATGGTGACCCTAGTCTGGCTGGCTGGAGGCTTCTCGTTAACGCGTTTGAGCGTCTCGTTTGGTGCTGATCTTTATCTGTGTTCTCTGTGGCGCTGTGAAAAGGCACCGAAACGCCTTTCATGCGAGATGATTTTATTGGCAAATTCCTTCGCGGTGAAACCTCTGGAGACAAGGCCTGTATTTCGACGAGAAAGGTGATTAGATTGCCGCAACCAATCCAGTGTTGCTCGCGGTACTAACCCGGGTCATTTTCGTTGGAGCTGGCCAGCACCTGGCTGTGCTCTGAGCTCCGGATCTGCACGTACCGTTGTCTGCTTTGTACTAAAACTGCCCTTGTTGCTCACACTGTCACTGCTTCATACTAATATGCACCTGATCATCCGGAACCAGAGGCAGTCCGTGTGCACTTGTCACTGTCATATTTCGAAAATATTGTCTTAATTGTCTCACCTGCACTTCAACTACACGTACTCACTCCCCGCACTTTAATGACACGTGCTTACTCCCCCGCACTTATATTACACGTACTCACTAAATGTCCCGTGTTGGCATCGAATTAAACCTGTTTGTGTGTGCGTGCGTGTCGCCTTGTGTTACCGTTCCGTCGCCGACCCAACGTCTGGGGCCGGGCATGCCTTGCGGCCGGCCTCTGGCTGACTGGCTCCCGCTGTGTCGGCAGTTCCCCATCGAGATGTCGATGCCGTGGATCCTGACCGACCACATCCTGCGCAACAAGGAGCCCTCCATGATGGAGTGAGTAGGCGGCCCCGGTGTTGGCCGACGCCGGCCGGTCTCGATGCTGGATGCTTGGTGACCGTTGGGGCGTAGAACCAAGGCCTCGGTCCGAGCGAGAACCAAAGCCGGCCAGTGTGAGCTGAGCTGCAGCCGAGCTTCTGAGGACAGCCGAACGTCACTCTTTCGCAGGCGGAGGATGTCGTGTGTCAGGGTTAACTTCTGTAGGCGTGCGACTGTTGCCACGTTCGCTCGGGGGCGCGGCGCTCCTGCTGCGCTCACAGGTCAGATCTGTGCAGTTTCGATAGGTATTGTTGGCTATGTCTGTGACGTAAGACGGCACATAGCGATGCCAGAGCGCCACCAGCTGCTGATCTGGTGCGGGCCTCGCTCGCTCTCAGTCTGCCGCCGTCGTCTGCCCTGCCGGCGTCTTGTCTCTTCCCCTCCCCCTCTCTCTTTCTCTGGTGCCGCCGCCGCTCAGGTGGGCGCTGTCTCGACGGCCGCCAGCTGCTTCGTCCGCTCTCCCCGTCTGGCTGTGGTCGCTGTGTGGCGCCGGGGCCTGCGCGGTGCGTGACGGATGGGGGCGCGTGCTGCGGCAGGTGCGTGCTCTACCCGCTGGACTTGTACAACGACGCTGGCTACTACGCGCTCACCAAGTTCCGCAAGCAGTTCCTCTACGACGAGGTCGAAGCCGAGGTCAACCTCTGCTTCGACCAGTTCGTCTACAAGCTGAGCGAGCAGATCTTCGCGTACTACAAGAACCTGGCTGGCAGGTAGGAGCGTCCGTGTTTGGCGGCTCGACAGGCTTAGTTGATCGCCGGTCACGCTGCTGGCGGCGCTCACGGCTGGCGCCTCCCGATGTGCATGAATGTGCAGCAATGCTCTAGTAATGAGAGGTGCGCCACTGCGAGTGTGAGAGCCTTCTGGTTCAGTTGACTGATGGGCGTTGACCAGCAGCCGAGCCTGATCCGCGGCCGTGTAGTCCAGTTGGCTGATGGGCGTTGACCAGCAGCCGGGCCTGATCCGCCGCCGTGTAGTTCCGTTGGCTGATGGGCGTTGCCCAGCAGCTGGGCCTGATCCGCCGCCGCCTGTGTTCCGCCAGCATCATGCTGGACAAGCGCTTCCGGATCGACTGCGCCATGCTGGGCACGCGGCTGCCGTACCCGCCGGCCAACCGGTACGAGACGCTGATGAAGCAGCGGCACGTGCTGCTGCTGGGCCGCTCGATCGACCTCAACAAGCTCATCTCGCAGCGCATCAACGCCAACATGCAGAAGTCGCTCGACCTGGCGCTGACGCGCTTCGAGGCGAGCGACCTGACCGGCATCGTGGTGAGTGGGAGGGGAGGGAGCGGGAGACGCTCCGCCCGGCTGGCCGAAGCGGGTCTTGCGTTGGGATGTTTCCGACGATGGATGTGAAAACAGACCTCGTGCCCCGGCCGGCCGGCCGCCGGCCATTAGCCCGAGCTGTCCTCTGACGCGCCCGTGCTGGCGGCGCCTGCAGGAGCTGGACGGCCTGCTGCGGGTCAATCACCTGGCGCACAAGCTGCTGAGCGCCAGCCTGGCCCTCGACGACTACGACGCCATGCTGCGCGAGGCCAACCACAACGTGCTGGCGCCCTACGGCCGCATCACACTGCACGTGTTCTGGGAGCTCAACTACGACTTCCTGCCCAACTACTGCTACAACGCCGCCACCAACCGGTGGGTAATGCCCCGAGCGGGTCGGCCTCCGGCGGCGCAAGGGGGGGGGGGGGGGGCAGGGAGATGGTCCGGAAGGTGACAGCAAACTATTGCCCTCGCCGGAATAGCGGATGGGAATGATCAGGGGGCATTAGTGTGACAGCACCAGTTTGTTGCGCGCGAAGCTATGTGGGTGTGCCTGTAATAGTGCCCGCTGTCTGAAAACCTCTGTCGTAGTTCGTCTTTGGATATCGAGTTTACGTGCGACTCACCACGGTCGCGTGATCGGCGCAGCCATGCCTCGGCCTGTGACCCTGACCATGCCCGGGGTCGTGTCAGGTTTGTGCGCGCCACGGGCCTGGTGTTCTCGGCCGGGGTGAACCGGGAGAAGCCGCCGCAGGCGCCACACTTCATGCTCTGGGGCAGCCGGGCGCTCAACACCTCCTACAGCAGCATCTACGGCCAGTACTCGGGCTTCGTGGGCGCGCCGCACTTCAGGGCGGTCTGCCGGCTGCTCGGCTACCAGGTGAGGCGGCGGCCCGCGGGGCGTCACCGGCGCACGCGGCCGCGCAGCGACGGCCGGAGCCCTCCGGCCCCGGCCGCGGCCTGCGCCGGCGAGCTGGCCATGCCTGCCGCACGGCCGGGACCGACTGTGCTGCGGTATGGCGGTCAGCAGCGTGGCGCCGTGGCTTGTCCTGTGCCGTGTGGCGGCATGGCCTCAGCAAAAGGTCCAGTGGAGATCGAATTGTCTTCGTCAAAGCCTCGAATGAGACCGACTTCAGCAAAGATCAATCTGTTCATGATTGGAAGACTCAAATCGTCTATAACGGGTGCCATTTGCCACTCAAAGCTGTTTGCCACACAAGGCCGGCGCGTGCATTGTATCTGTGTTGTGTTATGTTGCGTGATGGCGTGGCTGAGCAAGCACGTTTGGGGTCGGGTGGACCGGCGTCTGACCGCCGCCGCCGCCGCCGCCGCCGCCAGGGCATCGCCGTGGTGATGGAGGAGCTGCTCAAGATCATCAAGTCGCTCATCCAGGGCAACATCCTGCAGTTCACGCGCACGCTGATGCACGTGATGCCGCAGCGCTGTCACCTGCCCATGCACGACTACGGCTCGGCCGGTGGGTGTCTGGCCGGCGCCGCTTGGGCGCGCCGGGCCGGGGCGTCTGGCGCGTGGGGCGCTGGCACGGCGCCGACTGGGCGCTTGCTTGTCGGACCGACACCGAGTGCTCGGTGTTGGAGGGAAGGTTCGCGTACTGACGAGATGGATGCTCGAGAAACATGTGCGTTATCCTTGCAAATGTGGAGGTGACAATGCGACGCGTTGGAAATGTTTGTTTTCAAAATAGGTTTAAAGTGCAACATTGAGTGTGCTTGCACGGGAAGTTGGTCTGCCGGTGGGAGCCATGGCGTGTGCGGCGGACTGACGGCGCGTCCGGCCTTGGCCAGGCGTGCTGGAGTACTACAATGCCACGCTGAACGACATCATCCAGTACCCGGACGCCCGCACCGAGCTCTTCCACAACTTCCGCGAGTTCGGCAACGCGCTGCTCTTCTGCCTGCTGATGGAGCAGGCGCTCAGCCAGGAGGAGGTCAGCGACCGGGCCGGGGCAGGGGGTTAGGCGCGCGGCTGAGCGCTACGTCAAAATGCCCCTCGGAACAGTGTTTTCATGTGCTGGAAGTAGGGCCCATGTAAGTAAGCTGCTTTAGGCCGTCAGACCGGCTGTTCTGTGAGGGGGTCGGTTCAGCTGTCGGGGGGGGGGGGGGGAGGGGCTTGAAGGGATGAGTTGGCCGTCGGCCGGGTGACGTGCTTCAGTGAAGGAGCCGGCCGTCCAGAGGTCCAGGACGCCGACTGGCGTGAGGTTGACACTGGTCTGTGAGCCCGGGATGCGGGCCGGGCGCAGGGTGGGGTCGTCAGACCAGCGACTAGAGCCGTGCTGGGGCCACGCCGTCAGCTCCAGGATCGGCTGCGCTCGTGTCTGGGCCCGGTGGCCGCGGTCCGATCGGGACTGATCCGGACGGGCCGGCGGCAGCCTGCCGGGTCCGGGCCGCGGCACACGCGCCGCCCTGGAGCCGCCGCTGACGGACGCCGCCGCTGCCGGCAGGTGTGCGATCTGCTGCACGCGGCGCCGTTCCAGTTCATCCTACCGCGCGTCTTCTGCCGTGAGAACGAGAAGCAAGAGCTGAAGCAGAAGCGGCTGCAGGAGAAGTACGCCGCCCTGCAGGTGGTGCACAACATCGGCCAGATGGGCACGCCCAGCGTAAGTACCGCCGGCCGGCCGTCGCTCGCGCCGAGGGCTCCGGCCCGTCGGCGGCTGGTCCAGCGACGTTCCCAGGGCTGACTGTTCGGCTGCGCCTCACGCTGTGCGGCTCTTCTTCAGCCGTGCGGCTGCTCTAGCGGCCGGTACGAGCTGTCGCCGCCGCTGCTGTCGGGCCATGACGCCCGGTCAGCGTTCGCCAGGCTGTCGGCCTCGGCTGACCTGCTATCCTGGGCCGACAGCAAGCCAACATCGCCGAGGAGGGCGACCTGCTGACGCGCGAGCGGCTCTGCTGCGGCCTCTCCGTGTTCGAAGTGATCCTGAGCCGGGTGCGCGGCTTCCTGGACGACCCCATCTGGGTGGGCCCGCCGCCCAAGAACGGCGTCATGAACATCGAGGAGTGCACCGAGTTCCACCGGTTGTGGTCGGCGTTGCAGTTCGTCTACAGCATCCCGGTCGGAGAGAACGAGTTCACCGTCGAGTGAGTACTCGCCGGCCGTGTCGGGGCCGGGCCGGACGCGGGACGGATCGGATCGGATCGGATCGGATCGGATCGGATCGGATCGGATCGGATTGGGTCGGGTCGGGTCGGGTCGGGTCGGGTCGGGTCGGGTCGGGTCATATCAGGTCAGATCGGTTTGGGCTGGATTGGATAGGATTGGATTGAATCGGATCGGATCGGATCCGACCGGATCGGATCGGATGGGATCGGATCGGATCGGATCGGGTCGGGTCGGGTCGGGTCGGGTCGGGTCGGGTCGGGTCGGGTCGGGTCGGATGGGATGGGATCGGATCGGATCGGATCGGATCAGGTCAGATCATATCAGATCAGATCGGTTTGGGCTGGATGGGATAGGATTGAATTGGACTGAATCGGATCGGGGTGGGTATGTGCGCATGTGGCGTTGGAGGCCGTATTCAGCTGTTCAGGTCACAGATGTCACTACAGTCAAATTGTTATCCACCTTTGGGTGCGCGTTGCCGGTAGTGTAGTGGTTAACGCGTCTGCGTTAACCATTGCGCGTCTGGGAAACCAGAGGTACGGGGTTCGATTCCCCGCGGCGCCCGCCATTCCTGCCAGGGCGAGAGGCAGGCGGCGCCATAGAGCCTCAGCAGCTGAGTGCGTCGTGAAGCCCCAGTGACATGACGTGACACCTCTGGGCGCTGTCAAGCTAGTGGATAAAGCTGTCATTGAGGTTCATTTTCGCCTAAGCAACCTCCTCGGCAGGGCCAAACCCAGCCCATCGGGAGCATTAAGGGTGGACGAATCCTTCAGCGTAAAGGGAGTAGGATTTTCCACTTTTGGAGGGGTTTCGAGCTGAAATAACCATCTTGAAGACCATTCAGTGCAGATTACAGCCCCGCCCTTCTTAATATTTAAAATCCTCACCCGCTGGTGGCTGACGCACGCGTCCTGCCCCGGACAAGCGGGGTGCCGCGAGGATTCAGGATGAAGCGAGAAAGAGGATAAGCTCATCTGATGTGCACGATTTTACGTTGCTTGGATTAGAGCCCTTTCAATCACAAATAATCCTTTCAGGGCTATGGGATGAAGAAGAATGCTAGCGGTGGGCAGGACTACCTACGCCTGGGGGGCGAACCGTCGGGCTTTAGCCCCCGCAGAGACTCCTCGGGGAGCGCGCTGGGTGTCCGGTCGGGGTCCCCTTCCCAGGGGCCTCTCGGCCCACTCGTGTCTGACGCATGCAGCCTGCCTCGGATGAGTGGGGCGTCGCGAGGATTCATGATAAAACTAGAAATAGGATGAGAGGATCGGATGGTGAGCAGAATTTTAATTACATTTTGTGCAACATAATCAAGAAGTTATGTATTGCATTTTTACGAAATAAGACCTAGTTATTACGAGATAAGACATGCAATCGAACAACTAGTAAATAACGCTAAAACCGAGCATGTGAAGTGCAAGTACGCACCTGAAATTGACGGATAAATTGGGTAGAACACAAAGAGAAGGGGCCAAAACACGGCCACCTGACGCTGTTTGGTTCAGCACACACCCAGTACCGCCGCGGCCACCTCTCGCTGGATTGAAGAGATACAAGTGAGTGCTGCCACACAAACGTTCCATGACGCAATCCAACTGTGACGCATTAAGGTGCATATTTACTAAATATAGATGTTTTGTCGTCCAGAACACAGCCTTTGCATTTATGAGAATGCCAGCTGTTGTGATGAAGCGTATTTCATCATATGTGTTGCTTGCTTTAATATTTTCAAAGTTGGAACATTCCCTTTGACCGAATTTAACATCGAATTTAGCACAACGCCTTTAAACAACACTTGGAAAGAAATGCCTGAAAAAAACTACTTCCCACTGCCCACTGCCACAATCACGACCCCGGCCGCGGCCTAAGTTTAAGGGCTGGACATGTCGGATGTGTGTGCAGACTAAGGGCTGGACATGTAGGATAACTGTGTGCAGACTTAGGGCTGGACATGTCGGATGTGTGTGCAGACTAAGGGTTGGACATGTATGATATGTGTGTGCAGACTTAGGGCTGGACATGTAGGATGTTTGTGTGTAGACTAAAGGCTGGACATTAAGGATGTGTGTGTGTGCAGACTAAGGGCTGGACATGTAGGATATGTGCGTGCGGTGCCCGCTGACCGATGTGTGGGTGTCAGCCGGTGGCTGGGACGCGTGCGACGGGTCTGACGGGGCGCCGCTGGCCTGTCCCCCCTGCAGGCAGATGTTCGGCGAGGGCATGCACTGGGCCGGCTGCGCCATGATCGTGCTGCTCGGCCAGCAGCGGCGCTTCGAGGCGCTCGACTTCTGCTACCACCTGCTGCGCGTGCAGCGCGTCGACGGCAAGGACGGCGTCATCACTGGCATCCCGCTCAAGAAGATGGTGGACCGCATCCGGCGCTTCCAGGTGCTCAACTCGCAGATCTTCGCCGTGCTCAACAAGTACCTGAAAAGCTCGTACAGCGACCAGGACAACCTGCCGGTGGAGCACGTCAAGTGCTTCCAGCCACCGATCCACCTGGCCAACCAGGGCCACTACCAGCGGCCCGACCAGCTGCGGCCAGTGCGCAAGTCGTGAGCGGGCGGCACCGGCCGGCGCGCGGCAAGCGGGCGCACTCGTGGCAGAGTCGGGGGTGGAGAGGCCGCCCCCCAGCCCCCCCCCCCCCGCGCGCCCGGGAGACGGTAGAGGCGGGTGTTGGAGAGACCGCCCCCGAGTCCCCCCCGCGCCCGGGAGACGGCAGAAACGGCAGCCGGGCGGCGGTGGCGCTCCACACCGGCCGGCCATGGCGTGACTGGCGCCGGCGGCCGTGGTCCTGGCGTGATCGCAGAGGCCCGGAGGAGGCTGCCGGCTGTGTTGGTAGTGACCGGACCTGGCCACCGGGCCACTCGGTGCTTGTTGTCAGATGGTTTGTCTGTTGGTGCGAACTGACGCCCGTACTGGCGCGAGTGCAGATCGCTCGGTAGTTCGTGTGGCGGGCGAGTGAGAGCCGAGCGCCGCCCTCGCTCAGGGTGTTCCGTGTGCGAGTCTGCATCACCCGGTCGTGTGACGAGTCTGCCGGTTGGAGTGTCACATGATTGTGTGTGGGCTGGAGCGTAACATTTGTCTGTGCCGGCTGGAGCCGTCCTGGAACCGCAGGCCGGGCTTCACACCCATGAGACGAGTGTCGGCGGTCCTTGACTCCGGCCCGCCTGCTGGGCAGAGCCTCCCCGCCCCGCCCCGCCGCCTGCGCCATTAGCCGACGCCAGATAGAGCCGCGCCTCTTCCCGGAAGTGGTCTGTACGCCGCGCCAGCAGGCGCAGGACGACTGGCGGCGGCCGTCCCGAGCCGCAGTGATATGTGCTTCCTGCGAGATTCGCGCTGGGAAACCCTCGTTGCTATTTGCGTCATCCCGCTGCATTTTCGCAGATTTTTGTTTCCCGCATGTCATCTGCCGTTATGTATCATGGACACTTCTCGTGTTATTCGTCTTGCTTGATTACGGAACATTATTTTATACTATGAAATGGAAGACTGGTTAAGTGTAAATATAAGCGTCCGTCATATCTCCCACATCCGTTAAACGGCATGATATGGCGCCTATTGCATTTGAATGGATGCAGCCTCGCGCCTGATGGTTTGCACTAAAATGGCCGAGTCGTTAGGCTTACCAGTCATCTTTTCCTTGCTTCTTAAATCGACGGTCGATGACTGGCTCGGCTGCAGCTTGCTTCTCGGCAGAGCGGGCCGCATGGCCAAATCCAAATCAAAGCGTGCTGCGGCGAGGATTTGACGGCTGCTGTGATTTCAGTTCGCGTTAGGCTTAGCTGCAGTTCCAGCTACGGACCGTTGGTCTTGTCGGGCGCCGTGTTTGGCCACGCAGCGGGCGTTTGGGCTGCCATGCCGGCCAGACGCCGACAGGTCCACCAGTGCAGGCAAAGGCCAACGGCCCGAGCTGGTCCAGCTGACATAAGGCGGCGCCGCCTTACTGGCGAAAATCCCTCGCCCCTATCTGGGCAAACGAAACAGCAACTCCCCGTTGAAAAGGAGGTACTCAGCTGGGGTGGCGGGGTAACGGCAGCAGGCTGTGTTCAGTAGTGACTGACCCCTCCCCCTCATCCGTGTTCACCGCCTGGCTGCACATCGCCAATCCTAAAGCTCTGAAGATGTCAATGGCAGCTGAAAGAGCTATTCCCCAACCATCTCTCTCGCGGACTTCGCGGACCGAGCTAGACTAGAAGCAGCAGTGATGACGCAGTGTATCGTCCTCCGCGATAACTTGAGGTTTTCAAACCGGGCACTGTAGTCTCACGGTGCACCACATTTCTATACGACTGCGAACAAATGTGACATGTCAACAATGGTAATGGAAAACAGGCACGAAATGTTAGCGTGGGGCGTTGCGGCCCCATTTACAAACAGACGTGATATGAAAACATGGCAGCTGCATACGGATGGAAGACGTCTCACAGCATGTAGGAATGCCGATATCCCTGGTTTAGTCCCGCCGCTCATGGCCTTCGTCGAAGGGTTTAAAAAACCCTATCGAGTATCGAGCAGAGCTGCACATCAAACCGTGTCATCCGCACGAGGACAAACATGCCCTTACTGTGCCCGTCGCCATGTTAACTGTGCCCGTCGCTACTCGAATCGTGGCCTAGTGCAGGCACCGTCCGAACGCTCCCGAGTCGACAGACGATCAAACTTCCGCGAGAGATAGACCATTCGCACGAACTTTCGGTCGTGTTCCTCTTCCGGGACAGCCGCGTATCAGCAGCGGCGCGTTCAGCGGCGGTGGCGCAGTTCGAGACGTTGCGCGGCGGCAGGATGCGGCGCAGTGGCGCCGTTCCGGCCGACACCGACGCGGTTGGCCCGTCTCGTGACGCCCAGGCTTCCGCCCCGGCCCGGGGCGCCGGTCGGGTGCCGACATCCGCGGAGCTGCTGCCGGAAGGAAGCGCCGCCACAGTGGCGCCGCGCCGTCGGCCGCCTCAGAAGCGGACCTGTTTGATGGACGTCAGCAGCCGCAGCGTGCTCTGAGTCAGGCCCCTGGGGGTCACACAGAGGACGCTCGGTCACACTCTGGAGGGCAGGCTGAGCCACGGCGCAAACCGGCCGCGACATCACGCCGGGATCGCGTCCGTGTGAGATCGGCCAGCGCTGGCTGCTGTCCTGACCTGTCCCCCCAGACGTGCCCGGCGCACACCGCGGCGAGTATCGATCCGCCTATGGACACCCTGCCCCCGTTCCTGCACGGTCCCACCGCTGTGCTGCAAGCGCGGCACGCTGGCCATTCCGACAGCATGAGCCATTATGGTTCACTTGTCTGCCGCATTGCAAAGCCGTAGTCGCAAAAAGAGAGAACGCGAAAGCGGGAGAGAGAGGGAGAGAAAGAGACAGGAGAGAGAGAGGGAGAGGGGGAGAGTCAATATCCACATACAGTTTGACTTGTATGGATGCAACATGTATGCATATTATACAATACGCATGCCAAGTGTGAGAAACCTGAAAAAAACAATGCACGACTTTGCGCACAATGGCAAAGTGTGACCAGGTCTCGGGAAGACAAACTGCGCAGCAGACCAGACGGAATGTCCGGCCCACGGAGCCGGCGAACGTACGGACCAGCGATGCCAGATAGGCGTGCGACAGCACTAGCCATCGGCGCTGAGTCAGTCCGGGCGGGACAGGACACGGGCTGGCGATGTCGGAGCCCCGCTGGCGCCACTGGATATTTGTCTGCTTTGAATGCGCTGAACGCCGTTATCCTGGCGGTCAGCCGAGCCCTGCCAAGCCCCTCCCCCTCCCCCGCCGGCCGAACGAGTCCCTATGCATGTGGGGTGGAGCTGGTACTGGTGCCGGTTTCGCTGTCGCAATATGTTGCCTCCCCGGTGCACATGTCGGCAGTTACGACACGGCCGGACATCTGTACACGCGTGGGCTTGAGGCAGGCGTCAGCGGACGGGCAGACGTACCGCATGACGTGCGGAGGCGTGCCGCGCTGGAACAGCACGTGGATGGCGTACGGCCCGGAGCGGAGCGCGTAGCAGTGGTGCTCGCCAGTGATGAGGTACGCCTCGCGAGTCTCCAGCGCCGGCTCGCCGCCGCCGCCACCGCCGCCGCCGCTGTCTGTCCGCACGTCGGACTCACTCAGGACCGGACGGGGGGCGGGAGGGGGAGGGGGGGGGGGGGGGGGGAGGGCAGCTGAGCGGACAACAAACGCGGCATCACGGACCTGGGGAGCGGTGCACAGCCGTCACGTTACCAACGACCGCAGTAGAAATCGTGAGGCATGGCCGAGACGCACACACTTCCGTCCCGCGCCTCAGACATTGGCGGCAGCAAGACTTCCGTGAATATCCACAAGGAGTATCTAGTGAGTGGCACCGCTCGGAAATGGTGCGCCATAATCATTAATTATCGCCCCGTTTGACATGGCGAGCAGGTCAACAAGTTAGCGTGAAGTAGTGCGCTATTTCCGTGACGTTTCTGACCCCGCTGGCCCCCGGTGTTGACGTCACCATGACCTCCGGCCGACACGGATCAGTTCTGAGAACTGCACTCGCCGGGCGCACACGGGCCATCGGTCTTTCCTGCCCGCCGGAACGCTCTGGATATTCACTGGCACGTCTGCGCCAGCCAGCCAGGACCCCGCGGCCGTAAACAGGCCGGGCTCTACGCCCCGGCTCTGCTTGGACCCGTGCCCAGCCGGCCCGGACGAGGGCGGGTGGGCCTTTCCAGGCCGCAGGGCGGCTGGGCCCGGTGCCGACGCACCAGCGGGTATTCCCGGCGACCACAGGTCTCCGGACGTCTGCCGGTAGAAGGCACGCAGCTGGCGCAGCCGGGCGTCGGCCGGCGCCGCCGCCGTCACGTGCCGCTCCGAGGTGCCCCAGTGCGGGCTGGACGAGGGGCAACACCGCTGCGAGCCGGTGCTCTCCAACAGGAAACTGGCGGACAGGGCGCGCTCGGGGTGAAAATCGATTTTCGGAAGCGTTCACGTTTGTACGAATTAGTGGCTTTTCATGTCCCACGCCAGCACGGCAAAACAAACACGGACGGACAGACAGAACGGACATAGCAGTAAGCACACGAACAGAAAAATATACGCACGTCACACCACACGCGGGTTGACAGCCCTCAAGCACGCTCCTCAAGATGCGGCACCAAGCATCACAAACCGAAAAACGGCAATGCGCCGAGCAGTAACGTTGTTGAGCATGAAAACATGCGGTTGTCGGCTTGTATTCTGACGCAGGTAGTCTGTACTGGTTTGCTGTCTTATGTTGTGCGGATGAACATATGCCTCGGTAGCGCTACCGGATAACAGTGACAATGGCTGCCCAGTGACAATGCGGCCAATCCGGTAGCAGCCTGTGATCCCGAGGTCACGGGACTAGTGGCCTTGAAGCGGGCGATGGTGCCCTAGTCTGGTCTAAAGTCTAGTGTAATAACAGTACGGAACCAAGCTCAACTGAAAACGGATTTCCTGGGAAGGGGCTTCTCGACAGAGTATCGCAAACAGCTTTCTTTTCAGCCTTGTATGCAGTTGACATCATGTTGTGATGATACAGTTTAATGCCAGTTTTCACTACTTCTCCATCAGTTTGTTCATGGTGAGTGGACGTGTTTGTGAAGATGCCGACGAATCTAATCGCCTACATCGGCGAAAATGTAGTTGTTGACGTAAATACGTCAAATTCAGTAAGTCACAACATCAAGCTCACAATGCACTATAAAATTCCCAGAACATCGAACCTAATTATCAATAACAGCTGGTCCACACATAATTCACCACTCAAAATGACCAACGTTGCCTGAGTTCAAATACCCCATCGGCAGCTGCACATGTCTGTCAAACTAGTGCATCGGCTAACAGACAGACGGACAGAGACAGACAGACAGACAGACAGACAGACAGACAGACAGACAGACATATATATATATACACACATATATATATATATATATATATATATATATATATATATATATATATATATATATATATTCCAGCAATCCTGCTAACATCTTTGTAATGCAAGTGTTGAAAATATGCGGATTTAGATGATTCGCTTGCAGTCAAATTTTTCTTCGCAAAGCCGAATATTACAACCCCATTTTCTTGTCAGTCTCTCATCGATTGCGTAAAATCTTTCGCAACGATATAACAAAAGGCACACTTTGCATTTCCTTGCAAAATGTGGCTGATGCAAAAATAGCTACAACTTACATAGAATATTCGGCCTTTCGAAAGCGATCTTGCGGGATGCATTTGTCATATTCTAAGGTAAGCCATGTATTTAAGCCCAAAAGCAGGGAAATGACATTGAACGTTACTGACGCAGTATTTCTTCCTCTGAAAATGTGTCGATTTTTCATAAAAATGGTTCCCAATAACTCGTTGACCACGCGTTTCTCATCATGAAACACCACGTGTGCTGAGCTTCTTGCAGTCTGAGAACAAAAATAGTTTCTTTTACCAAAAATAATTTATCTTCTTGAGGGCTGTGTAGCTTTATAACGGAAAAGCAAGTTTATCATATCGTTAAAAAATCAAAGTTGAGAAGCGCGATAAGCTAAAATTTCACAGGGATAACAAATTCCAAGTCTGCGGCCGTCCAAGCGGCGAGTGTCAAGTCTGCCAGACGTTCCAACCATGACTGTTTCAGAATAGGCATATAGGCTGTCATGTCGTCAGATCATGGTGATCTGCGTTACTTGTGTTCTTTTAATTTTGTCTAGTTTGGTATGCCTTCGAAAATTGTGACACATTGTCAATTTTCTTTTCATGCATGCTGGAGAAGGACTTAGGAGGGCCATAGAGGGTCAAAGCCTTTATCGCTATCAATGCTCCCCATGCAGTGGTCTAGTCTTTTCTATTGAGCAATGTCATTTCATAACTCCGGAAGCTTTCTCCGTACATCCGTTTCTACGATCTGAGGAATACTGCGACTATAGTGGAATTAAGTTTATCTTTCTTTACCGATTCAAGTCAGTCACGATCTAAAGTATTCCTTGGTGTCAGCGAACCAAGTGGCATGCACGTCGTCTCGTTCTAGTTGAGCTAAGACCAGGCTGGACGGCGAAGTCGGAGAGCCTCGGCACGGCTCCACAAAGTTAAGTGTCGCGCATGCCACACAGGCCATGCTTCTCTTCGATACCACGTGTCCCCCTAAATACGCCGGGTAGTAAACAGACCGGACCACGTCCTTAAAGCTTCATTTATTGTCAAAGGGGCTGGGAATCATCTCTAACAACAACAACCATAACACAGATCGAAACACAACCGGACCACGTCGCCTCGACGCAGGTCAGGAAACATGGCGTCACCTAGCGCCAGCCAATCGAACTCAGCGAAGTGGTCGATGACCACCTAAGCCATGGCAAATATCACAACTTCCAGCTTGACCGCAACCAAGCCAGCGGCGTGCAGGGGCTCTACGACACCAGCTTTATCCGGTTCAGCTTGGTGTTCAGCTTCTTGGACACGCTCTTCTCCAGCGGCGGCACCAGAAAGGCGACCAGAATCTCGCTGTTCTTGTTCAGGATGCGCTCGAGGAAGCGGCCAAGCCCGCCAAGGCCATCGATCTTGACACTGAAGTTGCCCAGATCGAAATCGGCCCGCGCCTCGGACAGCACCAGGTCCAGCCGTTCCTCATCCTTAGGGTTCGGCTCCACCGTCCAGTTGGCGGTGATTTTGACGCGCAGTTGGTCCAGGTTGATGACCACGTCCGGATTGGCAGTAATGAAGACGTACTTGAGACCAAGCGCGCCCGTGGCCGAGAGCTCCTCGAAGCTCACATCCAGCGCCAGCGCGTCGGGATTGAAGTTGAAGGCCTCCAGTTGCACGTTGCTTATGCCGTGGATCTTCAGGTTAGTGGCCGACAGCTGAAACTCCTTGTCCTTCTTGGGCTTGATATCATCCAGGTCGAGCGGCTCGAGCACGACCAGGTCGTCGCCGACCTGAACGCCGGAGCTGAACGACGGCCGAGCCACGTCGATGGCGCCGATCAACAGTTCGGCTACGCACGGGCCGATGTCGGCCGTCTCGTCCGTCTCGCATGTACTGAACAGCACGTCCAGCGGCAGACCGCCCGACAGCACGAAGCCGGAGCCACGCCGCACGCGGCCGCCCGGCAGCGAGGCCGAAAGCGCGACGCAGCAGAGCAGGAGCAGCGGCCAGCAGGCGGTCATGGCGGCAGGCGGCGCGACGACGAGTGATGGCTGCGGCCCGCCGGCCGGCGCTCTTATGCTGCAATGCCGACGGCCGGGAATACCCAGAGAACCCCGCCGGGCCGCGTCACCGCTCTGCCCAGCCCCCTGGCGGACACCGAGCCAGCGCCGCAGGAAGCCGATCCGACACCGCACCCCACCGACCCAGACCCACATCCCACCGGCCCGACAGCGCACCCCACCGACCCGACACCACATCCCACCGGCCAGACACCGCACCCCACCGGCCCGACACCCCATCCCACCGAGCCGCCACCACATCCGACCGTCTGCCGGCCGCAGGCTGGTGACCGGGCCGGTCGGTGGCCTGCGTCACGCCCCGACGCCAGCTGCTGGTCTGTGCCAGCACACACGCGAACACTGGTGTCAACGGACAAATTCCGAGAGACAAAGCCAGGGACGCAGGCGACAGAGCACGCAGGCGACAACTGTTCAACGGTATGATGATGATGTACTACAATCTAGTTGAACAGCGGAATTCATCCACATTGTCTCTTGCAAATTCCTCGGGCCTGGCACTGGGTACCAATCTTTAGCGCACACGCGCACACGCACGCACGCACGCACGCACGCACGCACACACACACACACACACACACACACACACACACACACACACACACACACACACACACACACACACACACACACACACACACACACACACACACCCTCACTCACCCACACACACACACACGCACGCACACACGCACACACGCACGCACCAGTATCATCGAGGTAGTATCTGTAGCAACGCAACCCTATACCGATGTCAGGGAGTTTCGTTATGGTAAGCATTGGAAATAGGGGCCTCTTAATGACAATTTGAGTACAAAAATGCTCCAAGTACGTCGCTGGCACAAGGTGGGACTGTCTCCTGTCATCCGATAATAGAAGAAAGCGTCCCCGTCCCCATCGGCGCCTCCCTTGGTAGCACGTGCAATGCCATTCAATCTAAGTTTTCACTTTTCCCTACAACTGTTTTACATCTGTGGACTGTAGGCACGTGATGATGCGATCACCTCCAAAACCTGCTTTGAACTTCAGGCACGGCAGGCACGTGATGGCGCAACCACCTCATAATCCGTTTTCAAGTCTATGTACGGCACGCACTGCATGTGCTCGGTCACGACGGGGAGCGGTCTTTCGAGTCCTATCGCACAGCGGTCTTTTGGAGTCTTAGTAACACCGTACTAGAGTTGTGGCAGAGTAATCCTATCGGTGTGAGGCGGTTTCATTACGGCAAAACTGGGAATATGGACTCCTTAGTAAAATCGGTGAGAAGAACGTATCTCATGTAGTCTGTGAGAGGAATGCATATGCAAGAAGATTGCATCGATGGCGGGGACCATCACCCTATCCGACGAGAGGGGACGCCCCCTCCCCCTCCCCATCCCCGGTGGCACCGGCCCTGGTCTTGGCGATGCCGTCCCATGGCACCTCCACCTGATATTTTGGTCATTTCCTGTGTACAGATCCAAGTGCGGATCTGCCTCGAAAAACATGCGTTGTAAATACAAGTGAGTTTACATATGAACTACTGACAGAACATGAACGGAATGTGACGCGGGCTTACACATGCACCAGTCTTTCTTTCGCGGAGATCCGCTTAAATGTATGTTCCGCGAATGCAAAAAACAGGAGAATAAAATCCATGAAGCATCTGTTTCCAAAGGCTATCACGTTTCGTCAATGCACTCACGGACCACCGCTGGAATATCCAGCCATTCGCCATGACATATTTGCTGTTTCCAGTTATCTGGCACATCGCATCGTTCAGCAGCACGTCGGCCCTGGCGCCACCCGTTCTGTAGGTAAACAAAGCTCTGGGCCTGCCCCGCCCCGTTGAACGTGTCATACAGATTCCCCCTCCTTGCGCAATTTTACGTTCGTTATAGCACTGATTCGTGACATGATGCACACAGCGATACAGATGGGTGGTGGCAAAATTCCCAGCCATGACGCAGAATCGTCGCGCCGTGGCTAGTCGGGACTGTATGGTATGACAGGGCCCGGTACCAGGATCTCAGTGAACGTGGCGTGTACAGGAGAGGCAACGGGAGAGGGCGGCAGACCAGACACGTACCCTCTACAGCTCTGCCTGCACAGACCACCTCTCCAAACAAGGTCGTCACTATTTCCCTGACTATATCTCGGCGCGTGCCAGCAGCCGCCCGGGCGGCCAGCCAGCTGCCATGTGTCACCAGAGCGGCGGCGGTTTCTCCCGGCTGGGGCTGCAGTGAGCAGCCGCGCTCTGCCGGGCCCACCGCGCCGCCGCCGGCGGAGGGGGAGGGGCTGGGGAAACCCAGCCAGCGCGCGGAGCGGGGCGACGTAGGGCCGCCGTTCGGCCTCTCCCGGAGCGGACGCAGACAACGGGAGCGACGGACGCGGCCTGGACGGCCAGCTCTTGTCCGTGCCTAACGCCGCGGCGCCACCAGGGTCCTACCGACAGCTAGCTTCCTGACGAAAGCGACGGACGGAGGGCCCGGCCCGGAGCTGGAGCTGGCCCGGACGGCCAGCTCTTGTCCGTGCCCAGCGCCGCGCCGCCGCCAGGGTCCCACCGACAGCTGGCTTGCTGACGAGCTCAAAAGCCGCAACATCCTTCCACATTTTTTGTTCAAACAGGCTTTCTGAGCGGCCTTGAAAGCATTACAACACTAATGAGCAATTTCGAGGAACTCCTAAGGCGAGGAATTCCCAGCAGTTATTGCCAAATGACATGTGGGCATGCCTTTACTCCGTGCGGTCATAGCTTCAGGTTATGTCCGAACACGATGTGCGCAGCACACCTTGCATCGTGAATCATGTTCAATCAATTTCACACACGGCAACCGTAAACCGAGGTTACCTTGGATTACCTGATACTTATAAATTTAAACTTGATCAGGATCACCCTCGTAGCTGCAATATCCCTCCAGTGGCTACCACTGGAAAGATGTGAGGATGGGGTGATTCACTTATTATGCCAACCGAGCTTCATTCTCACTACTCCAACTTTGACCACGTAATAAGATACGAGCTTAATTTATGAAAGTTTTGACATATACGGTTGTCCACCATTCACCGCGTTCGCACCACTTACCCAAAAGCACTGACTCTAATGAAATCTAACCCCAAAACACCGCTAACGAGAGAAAATTATTCCATTTCTTCAGGGGAAGCACATTGAAGCAGTAAAGCGTGAAATTCATGGACATATACCAGCTTGGTCTTGAGCTAAACTGCATGCCGCGGATACGGAAAACTGCCTTTACAGACGCCGATGGCTTACCGCCACCTACCTACGGCAAAGTAAGGCCAAGGTCCATCTGCTTTGCTGTTTCAGTGCATATCGTAACGCACATTCTAAGTGTTCAGTCTTACACCGAGCTCGTCAAGCAAATATAACAATGGTACATGTAACATAATCTTCCATACGCTCGACAGCGGCGACACGGCGACAACAACCACCGGCTGAACAGTCCATATGGTGGGTCGGATCGCATCGCGTAACAAAGGCACGTGATCGGGCGGTCCGGCCGGATGCTGAAGGCAGATTTATGACGTCATTATGAGATGACTTGGGCGGAGGTTAACATCTCTTTCTGAAACAAAATGATCCGTTCGAGATGCGGGAAGTTCCAAGTTGCTGTCTACGGAAAACGTGCAGAACTGAGACAAAATCGTCCCAGTGACTGACGGATACCAGCCGAACCCCGCCCGCTAAGTCCAGCAAGCAGGCCCGCCTCATGCCTCCTGGCATCATAAACAAATCACACACAGCATCCTACACTGCAGTTAAATCTGTCACGTGACAGGCCTCGCTGGGAAGTACAGCAGCCCGACGTGCGCGCCAGTCCCCGCCATGACACAAATCGGCGACGAACATAGCCTCCCAGGCCGTGTCCAGCGGGTCCAGCCGGCCCCATACCATGCAGCGGAGCACGGGCGCAGGGTGGGGAGGAGCGGAGCCAGTCATGTGACAACATTGACCTGAGATCAGCGCACGACCGACCTCAGCTATCGTCCAACATACGCACACACAAAGGTCGTGATTCCGTGTCGGTCAACCCTCATTCGGAAGATGAAAAAAAGGCACCAGCACTCGATAGCATCATGAAGTCCACCTGTGCGCGACTACTCCCAGCGACGTGCAACTCGCTGGGAGTAGTCGCGAGTAGCAAGTAGCCACAGATCCTAGCAGTTTGGGCTGGATCGACGCACTTGAGCATGCGTTTTGTCAGGTACCTGATCACTGTGTTGCAACATGACAACTGCGGATTGGCTCGAAAGAGATCTCGCGGTTGGCATTATATGTTATGTCCCTAGGTTCAAGCGACGTGCAACTTACATGGGCACGTTTCTTGTTTTGTTCTGAGCACATCTATATGTATTTGTATGTGTTCCGGGTTCTATTCACGATGTGGGGGCTCCATGAATGCTACACTGTGACGGCTGACCGCATGTGATCGGCGGCTCGTCAGTTGCCGCCAGCCGCCCGCGCTTGCAGGCGACCGTCAAGCAGCGCTCCTCAGACCGTCACTGCTCGGAAACCACAAATCCTAGAGACACTTTTGGTGTCGAAACACGCACAATGAACGTCGCACAGGCTACTGGAAATATGAACAAGATTGCACTACGTGCAATAAGGGATATCCTCAGAAAACCTTAGGGGGAAGGGCACATCGACCCCCTCCCCCATAAGGGCGCGGGTTTACATGGAGTCACATGAAGCATCAACGTACAACACGTGGAATGTTCTCTCCATTAATGACCCGTCCCTCTCGCAACAGAGTGAGCCACCGTCTCTGCACCCTTCGGCCGAGCGCAGGCCGCCAGTCACCACGGCCCGTACCGGACCTTGTACGGATCCCAGGAGCCGGCGCCGCCGGGTTCGCACCGGACTGGCCCAGCTGTGCGCGCTCCTCCACCCCCCCCCCCCCCCCCCCCTCGCCGTCCCGGTCTTCCCAGCGACGGTGCGCGCTCCACGCCGAGCCTGGGCCGCGGCGAGGGCAGTGCGGGCCGCCGCGCTCCAGTTCACTCACCTGTGCACGGCTGGGTCGAGCAGCACGGCAGTGGGGAAGCCGCGCGGCAGGGCCACCTCCTGCTGGCGCACCGTCTCCAGCACGGGCCCCCACTGGCGCACGGTCTCGCGCTCCAGCTCGTCCAGCGCCGGCGTCGGTCCGCACAGTACGCACACCTCCGAGCTCTCCGAGAGCCGGCACACCAGCAGACGGAACGGCACCTGACGCCGGGGCACAGCACGTCAGTCTGCTGTTCACAGCACGTACAGCCCCGAGCTTTCCGAGAGCCGGCACGCCATAAGACGGAACGGCACCTGACCCCGGGGCAACGCACGTCAGTCTGCTGTACACAGCACGTACAGCCTCGAGCTCTCCGAGAGCCAGCACACCAGCAGGCGGAACGGCACTTGACCCCGGGGCAACGCACGTCAGTCTGCTGTACACAGCACGTACAGCCTCGAGCTCTCCGAGAGCCGGCACGCCATAAGACGGAACGGCACCTGACCCCGGGGCAACGCACGTCAGTCTGCTGTACACAGCACGTACAGCCTCGAGCTCTCCGAGAGCCGGCACACCAGCAGGCGGAACGGCACCTGACCCCGGGGCAACGCACGTCAGTCTGCTGTACACAGCACGTACAGCCTCGAGCTCTCCGAGAGCCGGCACACCAGCAGGCGGAACGGCACCTGACGCTGGGGCACGACGATGGACACGTGTCTGAACGAGAAAACACGGCGCACAGCTGCTGCACTGCTGCAACGTAAATTTACGTGCACGATGTACTGGGAAATGTTAATACAAACTAAGTCCACACCTACAGTGCCACCTTCCAACGTGGAACATGGCGATTGTCATGGTGCGTTTGTAAAAGACATTATCTTTTTCAATGACATAGTGCAATTTTTGCGCTACTGATGACAATTTTGATAAAACTAGTATAGTTACGCACTCAACTCCGACTCCACTCCGACCGGCTAGTCCAACCAGCTGAATTGACTCTGACAGGACAGATATCTCAGCAGGGGCGTAGTTTCGCAAAATTAGTTGGAGGATGGGGTAGGGGTGGGGGGAAGGGGGCTGAGCTGTGAAAATTACTCAAACTGCCACCAAAATAACCGATAAAACGGCTTTCCCGGATTTGGCCCACTTACTTCTAAAGCGTGGGGAGCGATGGATACCAAGTTAGGGGGTTGAAGCACTCTCCAACTGAATGGGAAACTACAACCATAGGTTCCAAGTGTTGACGATCATTGCTAAGGCTATCTTTTCTGGCCAGGAGTTCCACGCCCTCGGTCCCATGAAAAATCACACATTTCTTCAGAGCAGCTCCTACCCAGCCGCACAGCACCCAAAGCCAAAGCCGGGGGTGTCCGCTCGGCCCAAGGGCCGGTGGCCGGCGCCATCTCCTCACGTGCGGGCTCTTGACGGGCAGGTAAACAGAGACGTCGCGGGCGGCGGCAGTGCCGCGCGCTGACCGCACATACAGCGCCAGCAGGCACAGCTCGCGCGGCGTCAGCTGCTGCCAGTTGCGCGTGGCCGCCGCCAGGCGGCCGTGCACCATCAGGCAACCGTACGTAGAGTCGGCGAACTCCGTCACCAGCTCCAGAGCCATCTGCCGAGGGGAGCCGACACTGGAGGTTGCGGATTCAAGCACATGGTGAAGAGGACTGTGACACGGGGGACGTTAATATCATTGTGCAGCTTTGCTATGTGCTCCCTCAACCTAACCGACTCAACGTAGAACGATTCACTCCGTGCTGGGACCCCAGGGCTCGAAAAAGCCTTTGCCACTGCCATTGTATCGTGCGTCGAACCAGGAGGCCGCTGCCATTCGAGCGGGACGCGTCAGCCGCGGGTCCAGACACCCGTACACCCCCGCCGCAGTGCTGCACGCGCCGCCGGCGGCGAGCACAGGGTCGGGCCGGCTCACCTGCAATTTGCTGGAGCCGGGCATAAGCAGGACGTCTGGCAGGCCCGTCAGGTCGCCGAACGTGTCCAGCCCCTCCTCCAAGCCGTCCAGCAGACGGTCCACCAGCCGGTAGCAGCCCTGCGGCGAGCAGCGGCGGCGCCGGTCAGTGGCGCCCTCCACACCTTCACCCGCGCCGAGCGGGCGGCGGCACCGGTCAGTGGCGCCCTCCACACCTTCACCCGCGCCGAGCGGGCGGCGGCACCGGTCAGTGGCGCCCTCAAAGCCTCCACCCGCACCGAACGGGCGGTGGCGCTGGTCAGTGGCGCCCTCCACGCCTCTATCTACGTCGAGAGGGCGGCGGCACCGCTCAGTGGCGCCCTCCACGTCTCCACCCACGTTGAGCGGGCGGCGGCGCCAGTCACCGGCGCCCGGAGCGCCTCCACCCGCGCCGAGGAGGCTCCACGTGATGCAGCTTTTAACCAGTTACGTAAAATGGGCACGATAGTACGAGCCTCCTCGGCCTGTACGAACTGATGCCGGGCGCAGCCTGCGGGGCCGCGCGCTAGGACGCACCTTCAGCTGTCGCTTGACCTTCTCGACGTTGGCGATGTTGACGAGGTCGTCGGTGCCGGCGCAGAGCACCATGGCGTCCCAGACCAGGCGGAGCAGCCGGTCCAGGTGGGCGGTGCCGCCCCGGGAGCGCGCGCTGATCAGGATCACCGTCACACTGTAATGGCGGCGCCGCGTGAGAGCGCGCGGTACCGTGGACGCCGCCGACGGCACGTCGGTCCGGTCCAGCGCGCCGACACCACCACAGCTGGCGGCACCATCACCCTCCCCCCCCCCCCCCCCCCCCCTCCCTCGGCATGCCGCCTCCTCCCCACAACTCTCATGTAAAGTAAGCCAGAGCGCCGAATTTTAAGCTTCGGTCAGGCTTTCACGGAAATTCTGGTTACTTAGTGCTAACCAGGGCTGCGTAACTTAACTGTGGAAGCTACAACAGTGATCGCAAAGCCAGCAGCAAAACTACACCCGCGGCCGCAAAAACGATTATTTCGGTGGCGGCATAGTTGTCCCTGTTGCCTGATCATTCGGCCAATCCCTCCAAGCATTGCCAGCAGAAGCGTACTAATGAAACGACTCCCAAGAAAACAGGAACGTCCTAGCTGGCGAAACAGTGCGCAGGAAAAAAAACGAATCGCATCCGTTGATCCTTCACCGCGCTTCTCAGGCCGCACAAAACACAAATGGCATGAGAGACGCATCTTGGGATATGTGAGTGACATAAACAATATACTTGCACCGATTCACGTTTCTTGTCACTCGTGTTAAGCATTACAGCACATTATCTCATTACAAGCGTGGTCCTTCCGGTGATGGTGAGAACTTGCCAACCCCAGGCAGCAGCCAGCCAGGTGACGTGTTCAGACAGTTCACGATCGACGTGATTAGAGCCTGTCGTTTAAACCAGCAACGGGAGAATCACGCGGTCGTACTTGATATGAGTACGACTGGCGTTACGGCGCCGGCCGACTCTCCGCATTTTGGGTTCACATGCTGGCGACAGCCATTTTCAATACACCCAGAAGTACTGCCCAGAAGAAGTGGATCAAGCCAGTATTAAAATGTTCCATGAAAGCGCTCGCCGTTTCCAGTAGAGACCAAAGTCGCGAGTCACATGCATTTTAACGACTACTTAGTGCATGCCTTCAAACGGTACCTCCTGCAGCATTGAAGGTGGGCTGCGGTCAACATAAGCATTCCAAATTGCACAGTCAACCATACACAGCCGTACGAACCTGTCCTGGAACTCCTTCCAGGTGATCTGGCAGCTGGCTGTCTCCAGACTAAGCAGGTTGACGTCAAACGACTTGCCGAACACATACGCGCCATTCAGGGCCGCCTGGATCGGGAAGGGCAGCTGACGGGACAGGACCGGCGCTGTCAGAGAGCCGTCAGCCCTTCAGCACATCACACTGCTGCGGCATTCACATCACACTGCTGCGCATCCACATCACACTGCTGCGGCATCCACATCACGCTACTGCCGCATCCACATCATACTGCTGCAGCATCCACATCACACTGCTGCACATCCACATCACACTACTGCCGCATCAACATCACACTGCTGCGGCATTCGCATCACGCTAATGCTGCATCCACATCACGCTGCTGCGGCATCCACGTCACGCTTCTGCCGCATCCTAATGGTGAATGAAAGCAACCTTAACATTTGCAGCCTTAGGCATTATGAATGAGGCTAGTTTGACATTCCACTAAGTGGCGCACCCACCTAGCCAACAGCCATAAGTATGGTGTAGGGACCACACCTGTGATATACAAAGAATCTAAGCTTGTCCACTCTACTCCACATGGATGCAACTCCGTTCTTGGTCATCATAAGCAAGAATGTTATCTAAGACATCAACTCAAATACCAACTCACATTTGCAATATCACCTTTCTTCTTGCACATAATAGGTATTCCAGCTGATGATGAAATGCAGCATAGGTAGCAGGGCATTGTGAGTTCATTGAGAAACCAGTAACCTGTAAAAGACACCATGTATGAGAGCAATAGCTGATGCTTTTGTTCGACACATGTCCGCGCTTGTGCACTGGCAGGGTTCTAAAACTTTTTTGGTTGTAATATGCTGAAATAAAAAGCAGAATTAAACCACTAATGATACACAAAAACACAATCAGAAGGGCTTTCTAAACTACTGGATACATTTCAAATGCATAACCAGTTTCAGACAACAATGACTTCAGTGTTTAGGACAATATGACTGAGCCCAGACATGAGCTGCCTATGGTGATGACGTCACGCGTCAACTGTCTAGGTTGAGCACCTAGGTTGTTCACAATGTAAACACTGAAGGATTTTCCGCAGGTGCGGGTAGTCGCTGGCAATTCCTCTGTCTACCTCTGGCGCCTCCTCACGGCGTCACCAGCATTTAGTTAGGAAGTCTTTGCTAGATTGTGTCACTTCGTTGTTGAACACCACATGGCGAATATATCGCACTTTGACGTCTATATGACGCTCGTGGCAAGTTCAGTCCTTCAAGCCTCTTCTAATATGGTTTAAGCTTTTGCTCCTTGAACATTCCTGCCACTCAACACAACTATATTTAGCAGTGTCCTTGGCCCTCCATCAAGAATGTGTCTGTATATCACTTATCTCACACATCATAACTAACCCGCTGTACCATGGAGGAGGTGTGATATTTTAGTGGGTGGTGGGCACAAAATGGCCTCACTATCAACTGGTCCTTATGCACAAAAACCACCACCCAAGTTTCTGTGTGTGGGAACAAGCCCTGCACCAAAACGAGCACCTCAGACTCCCTTTGCACCACTGTTGAAGATATTCATGGGCATGGAGCTGACTATCTGTCAGTATGATAAAAATGGTCTGCTTGAGCACTAATAATTGGCCAGCTGTTGGATAAAAGCATTAGCATCAAGTTCAAGTCAGGAGATGAGTTGTCTTGAACTTAATCCTGACGGGAAAAAACCACTCGTTGAATATCCTTGGCTAAAGTGTCTGAGTTGCTCTGAAGCATGGCACCCAGCACCAGCCAATTCTGCTGATGACTGCACCCAGTATGACTTATCCCTTTGCATGCAAGTCTCTGTCCCTCCCTGGCTTGCATTATGCCTACAGGCCATGCCTGAAGTCATGATTTTTCACCTTTACTTTTAGACATGCATTTAGGGCCATCATACTCAGAACCACAATTGAGGGAGGCAAAAGCACTTACCATGGAGGACTGGCCACCACCAGTGATCATGCAGAGGTGCATATTAGACCTGACTGAAGATGTCAGCAGTATCCCATATGGATCTGTCATGAGACAGGCTTTACTGAACTTTTTCAACATGGTCTGTAGATCAATCATGAACATAGAGTGCTTCAGTCTCCTATTAATGTGCCAGACCTTAGTCAGGCCTCTCTTGGAATATGTAAACCTAATCTGGGGCTAATTTGCAAATACCATGCCTGTAGATGGTGAGGGACCTGGGTATTTTAAAGCAACCAGATACTCCTAGAAATTAACCTGCCTTCTCTCTACTATGGACATCAAAGAGGTAGCATGGCAGATGTCTATTAGGTCCTCCATGGTGGTGAAAGCCTTCACACCAAAGCCCTCTTCACTTCTGTTGAGTCTCATTCTAGAGAAGTCATCAGTGGAAGATGAACAAACCAAGCCACCAGTGACATTCACACAAGCAGTTACAGATTACCACACATTAGCAGATTTTCTACATAACATCAGCTGTCAATGACTAGGACTCCTTGCCTGGGTGATTGCTGACATGACCGCCTTTTTTTTAATCCAGACTTGAGTCACTGGGAATATCATGAACAACACACCACTAGCTAACACATATGCCATGTCATGTAGCAAAGTTAGATGTGAGCATGGCAAGCAGACCTGTTGTCACTCTACTTAAATAAGAAAATAGGTGTGATGAGACAAGAGATGAGGATTTGGAGGACTGTGGGACAACTGCCGCAAAAATTGTGGCAACATTTGCCATTGGCCCTACATGGTGAATTATGGCAACAACAAAAAAACTGTGCCCACGCCTCAATTCTATAGAGGTCACGCCACAACTGAAAGGCATGCAGAAACAAGTTCACACAAAATACTACGCGATTTCGCAGACATCAGGTCTAGATTCACAGGAGTTAAGAGCAAGTTTATATTTACCCTCACATTTGAGGAAAATTCTGACTGCCCGCGTTATCAATCACTTGCTAAGCACCCAATACACTCCCGCCTACAAAAATCATTGTCCGCGGCACGGTAAAATTCACCGCTGCTCCTAACTTGAGCCCCGCTGCTGTACAATCCATTCGTTATTCCGTTTGTTTACATTGGTAAGATTTGTTGTGCTGAACATTACTTGTGGCAAACCTAGCGAATTATTTATAAGGCACAAGTTTGGATGTTCATAAAACTTTTAAATAAACATTTATTGGAATGCTTATTCATGTGAACTAACTTAAAAATAATATAAATTACATTACTATTTGGTTTTAGTGCATTGAACAAAATATTTTTGATTTATACTGAATATTTATTTCAACGTGTTATGTGCAGGCAACCTGAGTTGGGCGTAAACGCCCCCTCGGAATCGAAGCAACCAAACCGAATACAAAACCGAAGCGTTGATAGGTGCCGTGGGTGGACTTAAGAGTTTGTGAAGGTCCTTGGAAGTAGCATTACTTCTTTCTTTATGGCCGCATAGGTTTTGAATTACAGTGTAAGTTTGGAAAGGTGAGTTAAATCGTTCCTCTTGGCTTTTACTCTCATGGATTCATTTCTCCCAAGCAGTCAGCATTCCGACTAGCTGGGAAGCGATTGTATAAAGTTTGGGACTGTTCTAAGTGAGCAGAAAAACAGGCGAACGTGGAAATTGCAGTGTGAAATGCTTAATGCAGTTGGACACGATATCACACATTGCTAGCCATTTGTCGCGCCATCTGATGCCATGAGTACCCTAGTAATCACACCCAGTGGAGCCTGTGTCACCTTTTTGAAACCCAGTCTATTTTTTAAGCAATGATCTAAAATATGGCACACCAAAACCAAGTGGGGATTTTAGGTGGACATGTTTCTTCATAAAGATAGAAACATTTCAGCCATCTTTGATGCCATGATTTGTGAGTGAAGGCAAGTGGAGGGGACTTGTTAGTATGTTTGTTATAGCATAAATATGCAACTTAAGCAATTTTATGGTCTGCAGAATTTGGAGACATTGTAAGGTTGAGAGCATTATCAGGATTTTTTGCTCAAACAGTATGAAAAGCTATGAGGCAGGGAATGTTGCTCAAAAGAGGGGGGAGGCAAGGCTGTTTTTTTGGAAGGCAAATGAATGGTATGATAGGATTATTACTGGTGTCAGGCAATGAAGCAGTACAAAGTACTGGGGGAATGTATCCCTTAACCCCCTCCTCTTAGTGCTTTTGCCAGACATTTAGGCGATATGTCATGAAACAAATAGTTCACTGCATCAAAATTCTACTTGTATTTCTCCATTCTGTTTTGCTGACCTGTGCTACACAATCCAGTAAGTTAAGTAATTAAAATCTTGAAGAAAATATGTGATGACTAATAATATTTTTATGTGTCATCCTTTCAAAATATTATTTATAGATACTGATATATTGTAACTTGTAAATCCCCCTTTGTCTTTTGCTGAGGAAAATAGATATTATAAGGGATGTGTGCATATGGTAGCCACCAGCTCAAGGAATTTCCAGATAAGGTTATTGAATAAAGCTAAATCAGCCCAGCATAGTTCCCAATGGTGGATGGACATGAGGCCAGTTATCAGCAATACAATGCAGCAATATGGATGAAGTAATCCTTCCCTCCAGGACTCCATTTTGACACCATTACACCTAACTTGTCAGTGGTTGTCCATTCATCTGTAGTGAGGTAGACTGATGCAGTTGTTGGGTGTGGAGGACAGGTATGCCTCACATCACAGCTGCCATCATTGTCTGTTGGCCCTCTGCATGCCATGTTTGTCACTACACGCTCCTCCCAGCAGGCTCCAATGGGCACATCCAAGTCTGACCTGCAGAGCGTAGTGAGCGAGGCGCTGGCCAACTTTGTCCAGCAACATATACCTGCTGCCTCCTTAGAGTGAGTATCCTGGCCAGTCACTGGCTTGCTGAACAGTGTGTGGGGTCTCAGTCAGTGCCAAACGAGCGCACCCATATGGTTCACATACCTCCAGTACATGCTGAAACATAATTGGATGCCAGTCACATGTCTGGAAAAAATGAAGGCAAGAGAGATGCAAGCCTAAATTGGAAAGGCCCCACACTGCAGCTGCTGGGCTGTCCCATCACCCCCACTCCACCCCCTCCCCCCCATGCCTAACCTTAAACTGGGCCATGATGCCAGTGCTGTAACCCACCAGCTCTTGGATGGGTTGGTGCACGCGCCGAGCTCTGTGCAGTGTGTGCCCTGGGGTCGAAGCCATCCCTGCAAACCTTTCAGTAAAAGTGAATTCTGAAGAAGCATTTCATGCCATATCTGATAAGGGACTATTTGGCTGAAAATTGAACTTCATCAAACTGATGTAAGCCGTGCATTGTTTTTTGAGCTCCGGCGTCTGGTCAGCCACAGTGGTTGATGTGTGATCTATACTAAGCTAGGTGTTATTTCTATGGCCTTTGAGCTTGGGCATCTGATCAACCACAGTGGTCGATGTGTGGCCTATATGTTGGTTCTGTGCTAAAGGTCAGAAACATTTTGTGTCAGTGATCTGCAATGCCTGTGTAATAATATGTTGGATGTTTTTTGTAATGATTTGCACACTTTATGCATGACTGTGACTGTGCTGCCATTCCAGATGTGTGGACGACATAGTGCTGAGTTACGTGGTCGGCATTCTGGAGGACCTCGGCGAGGACGAGGACGGCTTCGACGTCGAGGGCTTCACCGAGATGCTGGGCGCCTACATTCCAGAGTTTGCAGACATCAAGCCAGAGCAGGTGTGCGAGTGGATCTTCGGCTTGGCGTCCGAGCTGGCCAAACGGCGAGAAGGTAAGCATATCAGCCATCAACCTCAGCCGGCCGTCGCCTGTGCGGTGCCAGTCAGCCTTGAAATGCAGCAGTAGAACAGAAAGAAATATACCGGCATTGCCTAATGAATTGTTTTGCTTGCAACAACATGCAGTGATGTATGTGGGACATGGCGTTAGACATCTGACGGTTGCCCGCGTAGGCTTCGCCAAGAGAAAACAAAATGATGTGTCCTCGCTTAACACGCGCCCCGGTGGCCGGCTAGATACTCTCGCTCGGATGGGGGGTGGGAGTCAATTTGACCCCCCCCCCCCCCGGAGGGCTCGGGAAGGAAAAAAGAATGTTAGAGATACCAAATTCACAGCGTGTGTTGATCTGTACGTTAACTCACTTAGGTCAAAGTTTGAGGTTCCTAGGTGACAACCTTCGGGCTAAATAAGGTCAGACAAGGTCAAATTCCAGGTTAGTCTCCAAAGTACCCCCAGAACCTATTCAACTGTTTCTAAGCAAAAGGTCACCTGCTCATTTAAAGTCAGTGACCTTGTTTGACCTTTTTAAGGTTATGGTGACCAAAATCATGCAAGACTGCTCTAAGTGTTGCATTTGAATAAGCAACAAAGAGTATGCTAGGCAGTGTGTTTAAAGACAAGATGTTGACCTGGGCCATTTTAGGTCAATGACCTATTCTGACCTCTGAGAAGTCTATGGAAGATGTACAATGCAGTTCCTGCTATCAGTATATTTGAAATGAGCACCAGAAACTATCTCATACAGCAAGCCCTAGAGTAATAAACTGGTTAGTGTTGACCTTGGTCTGACCTTCATACATGACCTTAGGCAACAAAAATATTGAACGAGCAAATTGCGTTGACCTAAGAGAGCATCTCATAGATGTATGGTTTCGTCTAACACTTCGTTGTTGCACCAGATTGAACGATTCCCTAGAAATTGCCCTCGCTAAAACCACGGCCGGACTTTGACCTGCTATAGGTCAGCGACCTTACAAAGTACATGTAAATTTGTGTACCAAACGATCCCCTATTCAGTTGTCTACAGGTATGCAAAATTTGGCACGGCTGCGCCGCGCCGTTCGGAAACCATTCCAGAAATTCTTGGGGGGGGGGCAATTTGACCCCCACCCCCACCCGAGCGCGTGTTAAGCAAAACTGGTCGTTGCTGGTTAGCGTTATCTAAAACGACTGAAGCTGGTTCAATGAGAACAAACTGATCCAGCGTAACCATCGAAGCAATACTTATATTGTATAACCCGAACAGGACGGGCTTGAACTTGGCTAAAGTGACCATTGTCGAGGGTCCCGGCGCGTGGATCCTGAAAGTCCTTGTATCGTCATCAGAGTTTTAACGACCTGCTGTTGCTTCCGACTCACTCTGAACTCAGTGAGAGGGCCTGTGGATGAAGGGCGCCGTGGACGTCGTCTGGCTTAATGGGGCGTCTACTGTGTCGGGATAGTTTCTCCTTTCCGTCCGCCCTCTCCCCTCCCGTCTCTGGATGACTCAGAGTGCTAGTCGGCGGACGGTTGTGATCTGTACCGACTCCTGGTAACGTCTCGCGTCTCTGTGGCGCCTGGCTTTCTGCGGACGATGGCTGCAGCTTCTCCCGCATTCTGTGGCCTGACCCCTTATGAGTTCTCCTGTCCTTTGTGACCCAGAGGCAGGCCGTGACCTCTCCTGTCTTCGGGTGACCCAGGGGGCCAGTTTTGGATGGCGGCTGTGCCTTCTCCTGTCCAATGTGACCCAGAGCCAGGCTGTGACCTCTCCCGTATGTATGCGACGCAGAGCCAGGCTGTGACCTCTCTTGTCTCTATGTGACCCAAAGCCTGGCTGTGACCTCTCCTGTCTCTATGTGACCCAAAGCCAGGCTGGGCCCTCTCCTGTCTCCATGTAACCAAGAGCCAGACTGTAACCTCTCCCGTCATGTGACGGAGAGCCAGGCTGTGACCTCTCCTGTCATGTGACGGAGAGACAAGCTGTGACCGCTCCCGTCATGTGACGGAGAGACAAGCTGTGACCTCTCCCGTCGTGTGACGGAGAGCCAGGCTGTGACGTCTTCCGTCATGTGACGGAGAGACAAGCTGTGACGTCTCCCGTCATGTGACGGAGAGACAAGCTGTAAGCTCTCCCGTTATGTGACGGAGAGACGAGCTGTAACCTCTCCCGTCATGTGACGGAGAGACAAGCTGTAACCTCTCCCGTCATGTGACAGAGAGGCAAGCTGTGACCTCTCCCGTCATGTGACGGAGAGACAAGCTGTAATATCTCCCGTCATGTGATGGGGAGACGAGCTG